ACCTCTAGGGTGGTGGTCGGAGAAAAGGGGATCTAGACAAACTGACTAGTTGACCTGGGCCTGAATTCAAGCCCCGCCTCTTACTGTGCCTCAATTTGCCAGTCTTCTCAGGGCATCCATTCTCTGACTGTTAATGAGAAGGATAATGACTACTTTTCAGGACCCATGTGGGATTACATGGCAGTTCTCTTTCCTCCTTCTCCTTTTTTAAAAAAAAATTTTTGTTTTAATATTTATTTATTTTTGAGAGAGAGACAGAGTGCAAGTGAGGGAGGGGCAGAGAGAGAGGGAGACACAGAATCCAAAGTGTGCTCCAGGCTCTCAGCTGTCAGCACAGAGCCTAATGCAGGGCTTGAACCCACCAACAGTGAGATCATGAACGGAGCTGAAGTCGGATGCTTAACCGGCTGAGCCACCCAGGTGCCCCTCCTCTAGCCTCTATATTTATTAGTCAGCGTTCTCCAAAAGAACAGAAGCAAGAGGATGTATGTGTATATATATTTGTCATAGGGAATTGGCTTACATGATTATGGCGGCTGACAAGTCCACAATCTACAGGGTGAATCAGCAAGCTAGAGACCCAGACGAACCACTGGTGTAGTTACAATCCAAAGGCCAGCAGGGTTGAGATCCAGGGAGAGCTAATATTTCAGTTCTACTCTGAAGGCAGGAAAAAGCCAGTTATCTCAGTTCAAAGGCCATCAGGCAGGAAGACTTTCCTCTTACCAACAGGTAGGGTAAACCTTTGTGTTCTATTAAAGCTCTCAACCGATTTCACATTAGAGAAGCAATCTGTTTTACTCAAACTAGTCTCAGGAATCATCCCCCAACTACGCCTCCCCAAGGTCCAGTTACTGAAGAGTTAATGCCTGGCACAGTGGTGGACCTCCAGGAGCCAATGTCTGATTGGCCGGTGCCTTGGCCACACTTGTGATTAAATATGCCAATGTCAGCCCTGGCTCTCCCACTTACTCACTACATTGGTTCAAACATAAATGGCTTAACTTACTGGCCTTAGTTTCCCTTCTCACTGAAATGAGGAGTGAAAATACCATCTAGCTTGCTGACATGATATGAGGATTAAATGAGAATATAAAGTAAGTGTCCAGCATAGAGAAGGTACTCAAGAAACAATAGCTATTACCATTATTAAATGAGATAATCCTAGGGGTGCCTGGGTGGCTCAGTCAGTTGAGCGTCCGACTTCGGCTCAGGTCATGGTCTTGCAGTCTGTGAGTTCGAGCCCTGCGTCGGGCTCTGTGCTGACAGCTCAGAGTCTGGAGCCTGCTTCGGATACTGTGTCTCCCTCTCTCTCTGCCCCTCCCCTGCTCATGCTCTGTCTCTCTCTCTCTCTCTGTCAAAAATAAATAAACATTAAAAAAATTTAAATGAGATATTCCTTGCAAGGCAGTTAGCACTGTGCATAGAATTAGTGCTCCATAAAGGTGAGGTATTATGACCTCCTTACTATTTAGAGAATAGAAATTATTTCAAAAATAATAGAAAATAAAATTACCTAGAAAAATTGTTCACTGATTGAGAGGTGAAAACAAAGGACTCCTATCTACTAACTCAAAAATTCTGCAACTCTATGGCAATCTTTGGCAGACACATGCCTCTGATATCTGAAACTGTCGTGCTATCTGAGATTCCTTCCAGAAGAAAATTCTCTCTGAGGATTGTTACGTAGGCTTTTCCACTGCCGATGGAATAATTTCAGATCCATTTGCACACTTACGCAGGGTTAGCCATTAGAAAACTGACTGAATATTGTCTGTGCTCCAAGAGAGCAAGATCAGGAATACCCTGATTGTGCCCAGATGGTTTTGGCTACTTATGTGAGGCTACCTAGCTGATGCACTATGTTATCAGCATTGAATCAGGAAATGTTAAGCCAGCAAAAAGAGAATTCAAATCCTTCTTTGCATAGCCTTATAATGTACACACCCCAATCTGGACCCTTCTATAGAAAAGTGGGATGATCTTCCTTGGCCTCCAGCTCACTCCATGGGATTGTCAACATCCCCATGGCCATGACTCCCACGTGCTGCTGCCAGCAGTGATCTTGTATTGGCATCTACGTTTCCTGATGGAACAATGGTCTCTTATTTAGGTGACCTTTTTAATACAATTGTCCAAAAATAAGCATATGATATATAATCCCATATCAAATTCTAATTACATAAACTTTCACCTTGCTTTTCATAGCCCAAACAAAGAGCCTAGACAAATTTCCTCCCCGCTTGTGACAGTGTCCCTGTTCCCTTGTGACAGTGTTCGGGATATGCTTTCCCAAACAGTGGCATCTTGATGTATTGAATATTTTAAGCTGAAGGAATTTAAAAAGTGACATGAGCAGAAAAGATTGCCTGCCGTTCCCCTGAAGCAGGATACAAAACCCTCAGGCAAGAAGTATCCTTCTTACAGCTGGAGGAAAGGAATGTCCTTATCTCGAAGACACAAAGAGGAATCTGAACCCACAGGCCTTGCTGCTTCCCCATGTTTACCACTGAGTTCACACCCCTTTTCATTCTGTCACATTTTCCCACGACTTTTCACTCTTCATCAGACTTATAAAAACACACCCAGGTTCTTCGGGTCTTCATTTCCTTATGAAGTCCCCCATGTCATGTAAAACTTATGTTACATAAATTTATATGATTTTCTCTTGTTAACCCGTCTTTTGTTACAGGGGCCCCAACCAAGAACTTAGAAGAATGGGGGATAAAGATATTTTTCCTCCCCTACACTTGCTTCCCTCACATTCCCGAGAGGTCTTAGTAATTTATCTTCAGCCAATCATTGTCTCCCACACTGAACACACTTCCCCTGCCTAAAACTTTTGAGATCTAATACGTTTCATACCTCAGACTTTGCTGGACTTTAGAAAGGTAACATGGTATATATACTGTTTTGGTTTTTTTTTTTTAAATGTTTCATTTGTTTCTGAGACAGAGAGAGACAGAGCATGAGCAGGGGAGGGGCAAAGAGAGAGGGAGACACAGAATCCGAAGCAGGCTCCAGGCTCTGAGCTGTCAGCACAGAGTCTGACGCGGGGCTCGAACTCACAAGCCATGAGATCATGACCTGAGCTGAAGTCGGACACTCAACCGACTGAGCCACCCAAGCGCCCCTATATACCTTATTTTAAATAACACCTCCAAATGGGTCTGGGGACACAACCCATAATTAAACACATTTATATTTTAGTAGCATATGAATATTCAACCAAATGGCATAAGGACCATAGGTAACCCCATATCATTTCAGGTCTGATTTTGCTACCATGTGAGTTTTCCAAAAACTTACAAGAAAATGTTTTATTTCAGGATTTTGACTTTGGAAACACTGATATAGATTTTGGTTCATAAAATAACGGCAGAAGAAACAACTCTTGCATTTTATATTTCCTTTCAAATTAATGGTGTCCTGTTAGTTACACTCCCAGCCTCTCTCCTTATGGCCCTACAGTCAGCCATGGGTATGGGGGAGAAGGCAGGGGTGCTGGGCAGTGATTAATCTAATTGGTACACTTGGCAAAAATAAACTGGGCATGCTCCACCCAGCTCCACACATTTTGCTCTTGAGAAGAAGTTGGCGCTCTGCCTTCTTAGGCCTTGGCCCTTTGCCTAATTCAATTATGATCCTTATTTCAGCTTCAGAATTTATTATTACCATTATTTTTATTATTATCTAAACATTTTTAAAGTGTTTCATTCATTTTTTGGGGGAGAGAGAGAGAGACAGAATGTGAGCAGGGGAGGGGCAGAGAGAGAGAGAGAGACACAGAATCCCAAGCAGGCTCCAGGCTCTGAGCTGCCAACACAGAGCCTGATGAGGGGCATGAACCCACTAACCGTGAGGTCATAACCTGAGCCAAAGTCGGACGCTTAACTGACTGAGCCACCCGGGAACCTCTATTACTATCATTGTTGTTGTTATTATTATTTTAAATTGTATTTATTTTGAGAGAGAGAGAGAATGTGTATTTGTGCATGTGTGAGTGGGGAGGAGCGGAGAGAGAGGGAGAGAAAGAATCCCAAGTAGGCTCCATGCCACCAGCACAGAGCCTGATGTGGGGCTCCACCTCACAAACTGAGATCACGACCTGAGCCAAAATCAAGAGTCAGAAGCTCAATCGACTAATCCACCAGGCACCCCTTCGTATTATTATTGTTAATGATGATGATATTTTGGCCTCCATCTGCCTTCCTTTGTTTTGCTTCTCAATTGGCTAAGAACTCAGATGAGAAGAGACCTGACCCCTCAAAGACTCCAGCGTTTGGTCCTTGGCTGGGAATGTTGAGAAATGAAAACAGTGGAATTTTTGAGAAATTAAATAATTGAGAAATTAAAACAGTCACAGACCTGTGACTCTGGGACTTGGATTTGGATGTGTGGGCGGGGCCTTTGACTTTAAGGTTTCTAAAGGTTTGAATTAGGCCAGGCAAGTTTTCACAGTTGTGTGTGAAATCAAGTTGTAGAACTTGAGAAGTAAATGTCAAGTATATGTCAAAAGTATTCTGGAATGTTGTAGAAAAAAAATCCCAGGCATGGAGTACATCTTAGATCAATCCTGGCCAGAGTGCAACTGATTCAGACAGAGACATGAGAAACAAACTATATGATTTCCCTAAAAATGGAAACATAAGGACTCGATAAACTCAATAACTCAACATGGTTGACTCAATAAAACTATGATCTCAATGAATTGGGAGTGGGAAGAGTAGAAGACAGGAAATGGAGGAAAAAAAGACAAAGAATCACAGACTAGTAGAGGACCACATGATACTATTTCAGGAAAACAAGGCACCAGGAAAGACAGGAAGTTGAAACGGGGGTTTTGGTGGTTTTTTTACAAGAAGACAGACAGCCCTGGGCCTGAAACCTCTCCGAGGTGCCTGTGCCAACAAGGAGAGTGAAACCTACAGGGATTCTAAACTTGAGAGGCTGGCGGACCCCATGGTCCTGATCTGTAGTCTTACTTGGGGCCCATGTACCGGCATTTACACGTGCTCTCTAGTTGATTCTGATACAGGTGGTCCATGGTCCACACTCTGGGAAACACAGATAAACTCAGGATTAATGATTTTTAATGATTGAAAGAAAAACATGTTACACATGCAAACACAAGCACTTCCTCCAGATCACAAGGTTAAATTCCAGGCCCCTGCAGAGCCTGCCTGTGGGCTCCACCCACAACCATTTGCCATCTGAGGTTCTGACTCTGCCGTTGGATGGGCTTCTCAATTTCATAAGCCACTTGGATGGTAAGGAAGGTTCTCCCTGAATCTAAAAGCTATTTTCTCTCATGCAAACAGTTCTTCTAGAACTCTGTGTAACTGTTTTTTTCCATGTTAGGGTAGGAAATAGGTGAATGCAATAGTCCTTTTTCTGGGTTCAGAAAAGAATCCGCACTTGAGTATAAGGAGAAGCTTAAGTTTTCCAAATGCACCTCAGCTTTTAAAAGTAAAGTTTTACAAATATTTTTAAAAATACTTCCCCCACGCAGTTGAAATGTAATTACTTATATCAACATTTGCCATGTAATAAATTAAAATGATCAAGGAAAGACCTGCCATAGGTGATAAAGAAAGGCTATTCAATAGGCCTCTTTCCAACACTTAAGGGGCTGGGAGACAGACAACCTGCCTAATCCAACTGGTGCTCAGAATATGTTTACAAGGATGAAGTCCACCTTTTTTTTTTTTTTTCCATAGTCATTTTCTTTAATTACTATACTGTGTTCATGTACCCAAAGAAATGAATGGATTTGAAGGTTATTTAATACAACAGGTATCTCTGTTGTCTCAGAATTTCAGCTGAAATCCAAAGCTGAGAAAAATAGCTAAGGAGTACAACAAGTTCTAAAAAGAGAGATGTGGGGCACTTCTACTCAGGACTTGTTAAAAGTGGCCAGATGTGATCATATGGCCCTTAGCCTGTCACCACCTCCAGCTTATCTAAGAGAAGGCTAGGGATTTAGTGGCAGAAAAAGGCTTTCTGTAAAGAGAGTTGCCAAGGGGCACCTGGGTGACTCAGTTGGTTGAGCATCTGACTTGTGCTCGGGTCATGATTTCACGATTCATGAGTTCGAGCCCTGCTTTGGATCTGCATTGACAACCTCGAGCCTAAAGCCTGCTTCAGATTCTGTGTCTCTCTCTCTGTCTCTCTCTCTCTCTCTCTGCCCCTCCCCAGCTTGTGCTGTCTCTCTCTCTCTCACCCTCTCTCTCTCTCTCTCAAATAAATAAACTTAAAAAAAATTTTTTTAAGTATAAAGAGAGTTGTTGGTTAGGAGAGCCGGTTCTGGAATGTTCCTCCACCCTAAGCCAAGTGAAGGAAACATCCAGAGAACCTCTCAAATCTGCCAAGGGAAAGAGACAGCTCACCTAGTCCTCAATTAAATGCTCACTGGGATGCACCAGTTCTGCCACGAGAGCAGGAAATCTACATGTAACCATGAGAGTTTAGGTGTGTACCTGATGAAGACAGAGGCTGCCACAGATGGCCCCTGGTGGCAGGGCAAGGCGAGTGGCCCTATCTCGCGTGGTTTCAATGGGAGCAGGGGGCAAGAGAGACAAGCCTGCACAAAGAGTTCTGGGCAGGCCAAGTGGACACCAGGGAAAGAAGGTGGGCACAAGAGAAAGAGCTGCATGGGACTTAGCCGAAGTGCGCATGACACACAGCAGAGAATACAGCACTGTGGAAGTCTGGAAGTGGGCACGAAGAGTGTCCTCCCAAGAATCCACAGACGTTCCTCACAAGAAAAGCAAGCCAGCATTTAGGCTTTTTCCATAAGAGAGAAGGCATACAGTAGCCAAGAGAGATGTTCAAATAGCACTGGCTAAATAATCGCATTTTGCCCCATTTCTTGCCATCTGTCTTCCCCTCCACTCGTTGCTCTGAATGTTGAAGAGTTAGTAGCACCCGGGATACAGGAGAGGTTGTGGAGTCAGCACAGACACAGGCCCTCTCCTGAGTCCGGGATTCTGAGTACAGGTTAGGCATGAGCAATGGAAAGGGAAGGTGCTGTGAACTACAGAAGACAGCAAAAGTCTACCATTGGATCGGTCCAGATTTCCAAATTACTGGAAATAGAAGTGTTTTAATACTTGGAAGTGACAGGAGGTCAAGCCAAGAGATCTGCCAGAGATTTTGTCCAAGGGCAGAGAAAGGAGAACCAACAGGACGTGTGATGGTTGTGGTAGAGGAAAAACAAAACCAAACCAAAACTGGACATTTCCTGATGATTGAATCCTCCTGAATCCTGCCCATTTGTGAAGCCAGATATTTTTGCAATGTGCACAGGCTGCAAAGGATAGAAATCTGAGAAGGCTATTGCTGTCATCAGGTAATGTAGACAAGTGTGGCAGGATTCCGGATGGAAGAACTCGTGTTTTGTTCTCTGCCTCTGCCAGGCTGAGAAGGTCGCTGGGCTCACTGGCTCCTTTGCCTCAGGGAGGTTTATGTTACAGAAATATAGGAAGACAATCTTTTCTTCAATCTTTTGTGAAAGGCTTTATGATTTTTGTGAAAATATTGGATAACCAGTAAGGAGAGGCAGAGGATGAGGATTATCTTTGAAGGCCAAGAGAGCGGAAGGATTCCCCACCCCCACTCCTATAGAAAGGGAATAGAATTCAGCTGGATCCATGGGAGGCAGGAGCCTGTCCCTCCTTCTACCAGCACCATAAACAGGAGGACAGACCTTAGCAGGGAAGAGTGGGCCATGGAAAGAAGGTATGTCCCAGACAATTGGCTTCCTTCAAGGAATTGCGAAGTCTCAGATCACAGAACCAAATGATGGGCTAGAAGCTAAAGGCTCTTAACCTTCATTACCTGTGGATACCATGGCTTCTTAGATTCTCACTCATTCCTGGAGAAGATTGATTTTTCCCACTCATCTGGAGGCATTGGGACTCAGAGTCAGATATATATGGTGTTCGAACTGACATTTATTGACATTCTGAATTTTATTTTATTTTATTTTTAACTTTTTTAAATGTTTATTTTTGAGAGAGAAAGAGACAGAGCATGAGCAGGAGAGGGGCAGAGAGAGAGGGAGACAGAATCTGAAGCAGGCTCCAGGCTCTGAGCAGTCAGCACAGAGCCTGATGCGGTGTTTAAACCCACGAACCCTGAGATCATGACCCGAGCTGAAGTCAGACGCTTAACCAACTGAGCCACCCAGGCGACCCTTGCCGTTCTGAATTTAGTTGTACATTTATGCCCACTACATAAGAAAAGAAATAACCAAACTATAATTGTCTTGATAAATGTCAGAGAGAGAGAGATGCTAAAAGGCTAAAAATACAAACAAAAAGGCTAAAAACAAGAGAACCTTTAAGCTGGGGGTCATTAGAAAGTTACTTTATGGAAGATCCAAGGTTGCTGCATAGGATTCCAAATGACAGCAAGGATGGAGAGATGAGCATAAGGCATATCAGTATCAGCAAATGCACAGAGATAGAAAGGCCAGAGGGAAACAGTATATGAAAGTGCTTTACTGTTTTTATCTGTAGGAGATATTACATGGGAGATCAGGGATGAGAAATGAAATTGGGTGAAGCTTGCATGGGAGTCTGAGCATTTCTATTTATTTGGGCAGCAACAGGAAAATATTACTGGCTTTTAAGGAGTAATGGGACATGATCAGAACAGAGCTTTAGAAAACTTAATCTGTTACAGATATATGGGATGGATGGAAAGAGAAAGTGATTGAGTGAGATGGGATGGGAAACAAGAGGCTATTGCTGTAATCCAAGCAAGAGGTCACGAAGGCCATGACAGAGCAGTGGTAGTGACCTTGGATCATAGAGAAGGCTGTGAAAGACATCAGGGAAGTACATCTTAGACCTGTATGGGAACAAGACAAGAGGCACTTCTAAGTGTTGAGCCCAGCTGATGAAAAAAATCATAATGCCATCATAGAAATGGGAAATAGTGGAAGAGGAGCTAATTTACAATGAACACACGTTCTAAATTTGAAGTTCAACATGATATCTGACTTTACAAGTAATAGAGATGTCAGGGGAGAGGAGGAGGCTAGAGACAGAGTTAGCAGTGCTTTCATAGCCAAACTGCCCATCTCCATAGCTGCCCCATAGCGCATGGAGGTCACCATGATTTGGGAAGAAGGAGGGAGGGGTTGGGCTGTGGCAACAGAAAGAGAGCTGAGGTACAGTACTGGGCAAAGAATGAGGCTCAGTTCAGATAATGATTCTGAAAAGAACAAGCTTTAAAGAATTTTCTAGTTTACTTGAGACTTTCTCTCATTTTCCTCAGTGCTTTCTTTAGCCCTGGGCCTTTCTCTTTCCCAGAACCTTTCAAGCTTCCTGTATCACTTTTCTCAAAAATCAGGTGAATACACCTACACCTAAGAGCCAGAGAGTTCCTGAATTTGGAAAGATTCTGCCACTTTCAACTTGGTGGACCTGGGGAGCATTTCTTAACCTAATTTGGTCTCAATTTCATTACCTAAAAAAATCTTTTTATTACAACAAAATGAAATTAAAAGGTTTTTTTGTGGAGAAGAAATGCAATAATGCATAACAAAACACCCAATAGAGTGACTAATAAATATTAAACTCTCAACAAATGGTAGCTCCTTCTCTCCCATCCTGCACATGTCAGTAGTAATTCCTAGTACTGATAAGGACCCTTCAGTGGAGCAGTACTGAATTCCAAGCACCAGGATGCATCGAGACCGGCATCCTAGTCCTAGGTGAGCTATTTAGTCGGTTATGACCCTGGCTAGCTTCTCAACTAGGGCCTTCATTAGCATGACTGTTGGCCAAGAGCAGTGGTTGCTAATTTCTACCACCAAGGAATGTTTTGTCTTCTCTTCATGCCCTCCGTCTTTTGAAAGATTTTTCTACTGATCTGCAGTTTGTTAAATCATTGATTCATTTCTTATGTGATCACCAGAATTACAAAACTGGATTGATAGAGTTATCAAAGCAGATTAGATAGACTTGATATAAGAAATTGTGCAATAGCTATTAGGATCTTAGATAGACTTGATATAAGAAATTGTACAATAGCTATTAGGATCTTA